ATGACGTTTTGAGCAGTGAATCGTTCTCGAGAACGTACATGAAATTCAATTCGTTATGCTACGATAAAACAAATCCAAATGAACACATAAACATAAATATTTAACGCGGCAACATCAGACTGTTGCTGACCGTGGCTAATCCGAAGCTTCAATTTACTACTCGTTGGAACTTGTTGTTTTGATTGTTTGTTTGGCCTACGTATGCATTGAGAAATATATTATAACCTAGAGCGCGATAAAAAAAAGTTTCCATCATTTTATTGAGAGTAAGAAAGAGTCTGATCGATATAACGCCGAATGTACCCACGTGACGCGCGTTAGATTTCCATACACATCGGACCAGAATAAATCATTCGGTAGCCTCATCTGAAGCAGTGTGTAGGTAACAGCAGCGGTCGAAAGACGGAGGGACCATCGGACGGCAGAGGGATGACAGGGGTAGCGGTGGAGGTAGGGATGAGGGGAAAAGGCAGAATGATGGAGAGAGAAAGAGATTAAGAGAGAGAGAGAGGGAGGCAGGGAGCGGGCGTTTAATCTTCCTAGCCTAATTTCCTGGAGCCGGGGCTTTCCCTCCCACCGAATCTTGGTGGTGCGGGATTTGTATGTATACTTATACATATACGTGCCCATGTATATGCATATCCGCGGTGGCTTCGGGAATCTTGGTCCGATTTTAACTCCCCAGTGGGAGAGGAGTGCCGGGGAACGTGATGGGCGAGTGCCTTTGCATAAAATCAAGTTTCGCGGAGCCCCGTGGCAGAATCGTCGTGTAGTCACGTCTGGCAGTCCGCGTCTATTTCATTCCGTGTTATCGGATTCTCGAGTTTTCCACCGATCGTGCTCGGGAAAAGCCAAACAGGACGACCCTTTCCCTTTGATTTTTATTTTTATTTTTATTTTTATTTTTTTTTGTCGTTCCCTGCACCTGTGGCATGGTTTTCCATTCGAGGGTGGTGCAACTTGGATCAAAATTAAAACAATATGCCTCCTTGTACGATCATCTCCTTAGGTATTATCAATCCAACACTAAACGCAGTCATCCATACCGTGGAAAGTTCATTACCCGAGGTGAGGCCGTCTTTCCTTTGGTATCAAAAAGAATCATATATATTAATGCCCAACCTAAGAGTAAGAAGGGAAAGGAAGCGCCATTTGTTCTGGTATTTTCGTGTCCGGCTTTGTTTTCGGCATCTCGTTGCTCGCTCCATCGCATCGTCGAGCAATGCTCCCTTTGCACACCCCATAACTGCATCTTCAGGAATTACTTCATTTGCGCGCAAAAATCCCGACGTGGCTGCTTTCACTTTTCTCGCGTCTTGTAGTAAATCCGCGGACGAAGCTATACATAACAATCGTTTCGCACGATTCTCGCCGAGGAGGGAGAATCGGAGATATCCAGCTAAGATGCTTAACGCGAAACAGAAGCTAAAATTGCACTCGCATGCAGATATATATATATATACATACGCAGAAAGGGTGATAAAGGGGGGCGCCGTTAGAACCGAACGAGTTGCAAAAGTCGTAAATAGGCATTAAAAGCGCAGCAAAGCCAAGAGAGAGGGGAGGGAGGGAGGAGAAAAAGCTCCAAGGGGTAAGGGATAAGCCGAGGTGAGCGGAAGAAAGTGCGCGCGGCGTAAACGTGGGTGAAATTAAACAACGACGGCAGAAGGGAGGGGGGGAGAACCTATGGTTGAAAGGGCAAAAGGGGGTGGAGAAATAGGCGAAATCGGACGGAAGGTATCGTGGAACGCGTTTCCACGCGGGAGACAAACAATCGTAGATTGGGCAAGAGGGGGGGGGCGGTGAGTACAAGAGCGAGGGAAGCGGTGAAAAGCCGAGCGACACGAAAAATGGAATTTACCGTTTTTTCTCAACTCTTTTTTCTTCCCCTTCTTTTCGCTCTTTCTCCTTTCAGGGAAAACAGTAGAGATGAGACGAAAATAAGCGATAAGTCAGCTGGATCGCGATAAGAAGGAGAGAAAAACCACCTGGTAACTAGACGCCGAGACAACCCTGAAGCTCGTACTCGGCGAATATTTTGAACTACGGAAAATTTCCAAAGTCTCCGGAAAGCTCCGTCCACGTGAGAATTCGGGATGTTTCCTCGGCGTGTATAGGTCAAACGTGCCATCCACCGTCGAAAAAGCCCACGAAACCACTGCACCCCTTAATCTCTGTCATTTTGCCCCCCCCATCTCTCTCGCTTTAGCTGCCTCCCCCCACACACATACAGCAGGAGGAACGAGGCAAGGCTGCGAACAGCTACTGAATGTAAATTCCAGGCCAAGAGAAAAGGCGCTTACAGCTGCGTAGGAGGGGTGTCGGGGGAAGGAAATTTACAGGCCCTATACCGCGGGCTATAATAAAGGGGAAACACGTATTACGCCGACCCCATCCTCCCTGGGGGTAATCGAGAAAACGAAGCTCGCATATTAGAACGGGGGCGATCCCTATAGGCTTTTCCGGGGGTTTTTCCCGACGACGATTGTACAGCTTTGCCCACGCGAGATTACTTACTTTGAGCTTTTAGCGAAAGCCTTTTGCTTATTGCCCTTTTAGAATCGACGCGTGCTGTCGAAAGCTGTGGTCCGATTAACCCGAAAAAAAAAAAAATGATGAGACACATGAATCGATGTATATATATATTTTTTTTTTATATTATAGTGCTCTACGTCCGGCTCCTTTATTAAGGGCACTACTATGGGCACTTAGCACTTGGGAAAGGGACAAGGAAAGGGATGGGAGAGGCCCCCCATTACAGGGGGGGGGGGGGAATTAGGCAATTTTTGCTGCGAGAAGGTCGCCTAAACCCTCCTCGAGGAGCATTGCGTGGTGAAAAAGCACATGTGAAAAATCACAGAGGTACAGGCCCAACAATGTCGCACTATGGCCGGGAATCGAACCACGGTCACCCGCTTGCCTATCCATGACCTAGCCGACCGAGCCACCACGCGCTCACTGATGTAAATATATGATACCTGTGGCCGTCGAAACTGTAGAGATAGAGTAGGGTTTTCCCGGAAATCACGGCAACTCCTTCTCCCTGCATGCAATTCCTATTAGCCCGAAGGCGCGCTAAGAAGATTACGCGCAGGCACATCCGGTGTATACGAGGAGATGGGGGTGCAAAAGGCATCCCGGAAGTTTCCTCGGTCTGGTTGGTGTACCGATGCCGTTGAAAGCAGAAGAAGAGACGCGCCCCGGGGGCGTAGCGGCTATGCACACGCGGAAAGCTTAATTCTCGGCTGCCCTTTTATACGCGCTCGCACAATCTCTTTCCCTCCACTGCGACGTTTAATTGGAGAAAGGAGCTTTTCTGGCTTTTCTGCTGGTGGGTTGTTTGTTTTTCCGGGTTTTCTTCTTCATCGTGGAAAATTACGCCGAGGGATACAAGGCTGGGGGCACGAGATAGCACAACTATGGGGCGTTATGGCCTTTTCTTCCCTTACACTTTCCCCCGATTTTTCCTACCGTATCCATGGCCCCTGCTTTTATTGGGGTGTTTTTTTTTTTGCCCATTCCGTGGGTCGGTCAAAAGTTCACGAAAAACATATTTTATAGAAAATACACGAGTCTCACTTTGAAACATGTCACTTGAAAGTAACTTCTAAGGACAAAAAAAAAAAAAAAAAAAAAAACGAAACGCCTCTCAAGCCATCAGATCCGATTAGGCTTCCTCTGAACCGTCCGGACGAAAGAAATCCTCGCGGAAGTGGAGTAAAGAACGAGCAAAGGGTCGGAGTAGGCGAGCTCATAGATAAAAAGGCAATTGCAGTCAAGTCCGGTATACTCGCGCGGGAGAAAAACAAATCTACGTATATGTATACGTACGCGTACAACGACACTAAGCGAGAAAGAAAGGAGCGACGTCGACTGCGGTGAATAACAGAGAGAGCGGCTATATATACACGGGAGGGACACAGTATCCATACCCCGTGGGTATAGTGGTAGTACTGCCCCTACAGTAGCATCGCCGGGTATTTGCATGCAAACGAGTTTGAGATTTCGTTCGCTTGCGAATGTGTCTGTCTGTGTGTGTACGTTGGTGCCGAGGAGAGCCGGTGTAAAGCTTTCCCTTGGCGTATGCGCATATACACACCCGCGGAGCCACGGAAAAAGAAGACGCTACCCGTGTGCATGTAGAGGCCCTCGCATGCGTTTGACGCTGAAATATAACGAGGAAGGAGCGGGTATATTTACGTATTTCTTTATTAACGTTCGCGCATAAGGAGGATCCAGCGAGTGCGTGCAAAGAGGCGACTTCCGGGATTTTCTTTTCTTTTTTTTTTACCCTTCTTTTCACGAGAGAGGAGGCTGCTTTGCATTTGGCGCGCTTTTTTGCGCGGAAATGGAAATTGGAGGGAAGAGCCGAGCTGCTCGAGAGCCCCTTTTCTTCGGGCAGGGGGGGGGGAAATCTGTTTTTCCGGAGAATTTTCGATGCGACGCGTGTTTGTGACCGAGGACGCGCTTTTGTCCGGAAGAAAAGGGGTGGATGTAATTTCGTTTTATCCGAAACTCGTTCGCGACGCAATTTATTTTCCAGCAGCTCTTTTTCGCTAAGTTTGATCCGTCACGTGTCTCTGGCACACCACCGAGCCATCTTCGCGTATACAAACGGAAAAATAATAAATCAACTCGCACACAAGTATCACCGTTGCTCGAGCATCATTGGAAAAAATGAACGAATGATAAACAGGATGCATGTGTAACGGAGGTGGAAACAAAAAAAAAAATAAATAAATAAATAAAAGTGCACCCAAAGCGCGCTGATGGATGCACATATATACGCCATTTTTCGCGTTATCTGCGCCACAATAAATTACAGACTGCGGCGTTTATTTGCTTTTTTTTTTCACCTTCCTTTCCTCCATAGTACGACATGATATTTCTCCCCCCCCCCCTTACTTTTTTATATTTACGATCGACCGTGATTTCTCTTTTTTATCGTGCTTTGACTGATGCACGTTCTCTGTTTTCTCTGTTTCAGGTGAGTACACTTTCCGAAATACCGATCACCCGACGAGCGCATTGGGCGACGGTAAGTACACATATATACAACCACCGACACCCTACGGATGTACACAACAATGGTTTTTGTCAGTCAAAAACAAAACTCTACCGTATACCAATAACCCTCGCAGTGAAAAAACGGTTTTTACCAGAAGAGGAAAAAAAAAAACAACCACTTTTAGAAAAAATCCACCGCATCAGCCATCGGCTAGTTTTTCAACTCAAGCTCCGAGCTTTTGCATTCCCCCCCCCCTCTCCCCCGGTGTGCGCGCGCGAAAGTATAGAGCCGTGCCCGTGCATTAATCATTTGCCGCATTATTGCACGCCCCATTAACCATCTCTCGCGTTATTTGTGTGCCCTCTCCCGTGGAAATGCAACTATATTTATACACCCGTGCCCTGTTTACACACACGCCCACCGTCTCTCTCTATATATACATAGATTCGTCCGTTAATTTGCTACACTGCGCTTCCTCCCCCGCCGTCCCAGATAACGTTTACACGAGTTATAACTACGGACGGTACATAACGTGTATGTACATACGTACGCGTGGGCGGGCGCATGGACTACGTGTAGTACCTCCATTGTCGGAACAAAGGGACTGGCTACCTCCTACGTAATCTCCGTCTCTCCGTTCTATATGTGTGTTACGTGTGCATCACCCATGCGCTGCGGCAAAGGTTTATGGTTTCCCCTCCGTCCCGTGTATCTTACGCGTGATTTTCAATCATACATCTTGCGCGGTGGCATCGGCGCGCCCCGGCAGAGTCGCTTCATTAACTTCGAATGCGGGCGAAAGCTTTACATAATACAGCAGCAGAGATTAGAAGGAGAGTTCCTTTATATATAGCCATGTACATTATACCGTGTGTATACAGACGGAGATACAATAGTCCGATGGTTAGCTGCCGATGCTTTTTGAGGGGTCAACCTCGGGGTACGTGGATATTATGTGGAACAATGGACGCACCGTAGCTACCGTGCATTATCTATATGTATATATGTTTGCATTCTCGACGTCCATTGGTATAACGTGCACACCGCGGGAAGAGCCTCTCCGTGTGTATACATACACTTATACGCTCGCCCCCCCCCCTGAATTCCCCCGTGGGGATGAATTAAATTCAAAATCAACTCGCGTTAGTCCAACCGGGCGTTATAATTGAAAAGCCGCTTCTTCTCCTCTGTTTGTGCAATGGGTAGAATATTACGTGACGCACGAATTCGTCTCGTGCCTCGGCTCCTCGAGATTTTGCGCGCCGGGGGTGTAACAAAGTTGAGACCCAACAGCTGTCGGGTTGCATTGCCCGGGTGTACCAATTTACGCACCGTTCAACGGGGTCCATCCTCATCGACGCTTCGTCTGTTTGTAAATACATTTACTCGTTTCCCCTTTCGCGAATAAATGAAAGTACAGGGGCGACAAGGTCCTTTTTTTTTTTTTTTTTTTTTCTTTTTTTGTTTGTTTATCCTTATAATTCTACTTTGCGACAAAAGGGCCAACCGTCGCCCCCAAAAACCAACTGCGAGTGTATACATGTACATATAAAAGCTCCGAGTCTCCTTCGTTCAATTTCGTATACACGTGAACACACAAACAGCGTATAGGTGAAAACTCGCAGTTGCGAGCGCGGTCTTAATAACCCGGGCGCCGTGGAATGATGGCTCCGTTCAATCTTGTCCCCTCCCCCCTGAGAAAAACAAAAGGTTGCAGCAGCGAACAAAGTACAAATGTGTACCATCAGCAGTCGCTCGCTCCCTTGCGGAGGGAGGACAAAAAACACCGCAGCCAACGTGTATAGGAAATTTTCGCTGGTTCCTCCCCTTTCCACCCCCTTGTACTGACTAATGCGTAAGTGTGTCAGTGACGTGTCATACAGTTGAGAGAGACAAACGCGAGTTGAGGAGAGAAGGCGCGCACTGTAGGGACAAATGGACGCGTTCCTCGCGCAAAAAGGAAACGCGGAGGGTACATACAATGGAAATCGTACTGCGAGCGAAGGGGAGAAAAGGGGGACGACGACTGATGATGATACTCTGGGAGAGGGGGTGAGATTGACGCGGATGAACTGCTTGTATACAACTCAGAGAAAAGATTTGTAGCGTGAGTATGGTGCCTTTACAAGACACACGTGGTCACCGTTTGACTGATCGAACCGTATACACTTACGTGAGATCTTTTTTTTTTTTTTCCCTCTCATCCTCACTTCGCAGTCACAAAAAAACGCACTTTAGCCTTGTACCAAACTGACCGATGAAATTTCACGTTTTACGAGCGCAAAGCCAACAGCTCGGACGTTTAATTATCATCCACTTTACCCAACAACAACAACTAGGTTCCACGACGACAGGGACTCTACTGCATACACACGAGAGAGTCCTCGGGGAGAGGTGGAGTTCAAAAAGCAAAATCAAATAAACAAACCAAGCGTGCATACGGAGTAAAAGCCCTCGTAGGCAAAAGTACCTTATAGGTACCTATATGTACAAGCGAAAGGACTAAACTAAAGGTACACACAAGTACAAGCTCGCGCGCGTGGGGGGGGGGATCAGTCGTGCTGACGTCCCTTTGGCCGTGTAGCCGTGCACGACGACGATGACATATTTGCCCTGCTGGACCCTCCGTGTTGCCTTGCGGCGGCTGGCTATTACGTGTACACACGCTTACACACGCACACACACATATATACATATACGTATATGTTTTGCCTCCTATTCCGTATATATATTCGAGGGTCATCCATCTCCGGACGCGTCCTCGGTCTGCGGAGGTACAACTACTATACTCACTGCAGCCCAGAACGGCAACTCACCGTTCCTCACATCTCCCTCTGTATGCGTATGTTACATGTATATACATGTATAAACGTGGAGGAACATACCACCCGCGTTGCATGTTATTATTGATCCTCCAAGACGAGTTCTCCTATGCGCGCATATATATATATATATATATATGTATGTATGTATGTATTAATAGTATACCTGTGATGGGCGCGTGCAGTTTGAGCAAAATTTCGGGGAGCTGGTGTATAATATACGGTTTGTGCGCCGAATAAGGAGAGGAGGGGAAAGTACCTTGGTGCAAGGGTGCCGGCACTTTCAAGTACAATGACTGGAATCTAGTTGGAGGTAGGTGCACTTCGGTCGACGAAACCACATTCGAATGGGCCCATTAGAGGCTCGGGCGATCAAACGGGTTTCGCCAAACTACCCGCGCACGTGCGCTCGTGTAGATAAAATATACCCAAGTTTGGGCGCACGAGTCAAATATATGTATCCCATTCGTACTTTGTGATAGAAAAATCTCTCGCCATCACTGTTGCTTGCGTTAGTATACATATATATACCCACATGTATATGGGCAAAGCGGAGCTTAATCTTTCCATTCAGTAGTCAATTCAGCCAAGCGGGTGTACACAACAGCCAATACCCCGCGTGCACATGACTCTGCCGCGCGCCGCTCAAATGTGTATACACACACCATGTATACATATGTTACATCCACAGTGTAACGCAGTAGTACAGTAGTTGAGCTTTATCTCTGCCCGCGCCGCGGTAGTAGAGTCGGTAAAAGGGCAGGGAAAAAGAGAGAGGGGAGCGTCAAGTAGAAACAGCCGGGATACGCCAGACTGGATGTTCGCTCGGGAAGAGCTACTACCTTTTCGCGTATATACATTTGTATGGGTGTACCCGCCGCGCACTCGGTGTTTCATCGGAAGTCCCGTCGACCGGGAAAATCGGGCGCTGATGGTTATTTGCCGTGCCCGCGTGTATGTAATACTTATTGAGTTGCGCGTTGGAAAATTTTTCGACAGTAAATGTTGCACTTGTCCTCGCTCGTGCCACACCACCATCAACACCCAAGTTTGGCGTGTTTTCTCTCCCTCCCAACGTGCCGGAGATTGTCGTCTCGTATTTTTCCGAATATTCATAACCTACCCAACGTAAGAGAGAGAGAGAGAGAGAGAGAGAGAGTCATCGTCGCGGAGAGCGCATTAGTCCGGCTGTGGCTAATACACGGAGGCGAGGAGAACTCGTCTTATCTGCTCCGCGAGCGCCGTTTCATCGGCATCTATACTCGCCCTCCCTCCACTGGACTGGTAACTCTGCATTTCCATAATCTGTTTGCTTATTCATTCATTTCTCCGCTCCTCGTTTCTCGTCGCCCCGGCATTCATAGACCCGTTACGACGACTACCAGCGTAAACAAAACTCCCTCTCCTCCGTGACAAAACTTTTCCACGCTTACGACATCGATCTCAAAAACGTCGTGCGTCCCTTCAACCCCAGCCTCTCGATAATACGCTCATCACGATCAATCTTCGCGAGGGAGAATCAACTCCCTCTCTCTCTGCGCCGGTAGCCGTTTCTCCCTTTGTGTCGAAACTCCTTGTACGCCGGTGGCCACCCCTCCTTTTGGCCCGTCTTTCCGCGTTACCACTTGCCTGCCTACTCTTCCTGTCTTTAGACCCTGCCTTCTCTTCTTGCTTGTATACGCGTTTTACGCTCCAAGACGATAATCCGTGTGCAAAGCAAGAGAGAGAGCGAGAGAGAGAGTACACCCTTCTGTCTGCAGGGATGTACATATTGTACGTACATATATATATGTATACATAGAGAGAGAGATACACGCTTTCGTGAGCGCCAGATGACGCAAACCGCGATACAAGTGGACGTATAACGCGGCCACTTTGTGTCGACTCCCTTCGCTTCTATAGCCGCGTGAACCCGGAGGAGGAGGAGGAGGAGGATCACGTAACGTTTCAAAGGACGTCTTTGTCCGATCTTGCAAACTGGACTCTCTGACACGATCCGTATATTATTTCCTACCGTGAAATCTTCACTGTGCGATTGTTTTGCGAGTTTTCGATAACATAGCTATTCATGTACAATCTTTCAAAGATTTGTTTCCGTTTTTCTTTTTTTCTTTTTTTTTTTTTTGTTTTCACTACTGGTACCTTTACACGGTGTTTTTTTTTTTTTTTGTTTTTTTGTTTTTGTTTTTTTGTTTTTTTTTGGGGTGG